GTCGAGCTCGATGCTTGCCGCGTCGGGCACGTCGTCCGGCGCGATCATATATTTTGAGTCGCGGCTCATTTCTGAGCACGCGACATGTGGATCTACGAGCAGAAGCTCGCCTACATCCCAGGATGCGACGTAAGGTCGCGTCCCTATGCCTTCCCGGGCGTAGGGCCGAGTCGCCTTGTCGGACAACTGGGGCTTGGGCTCGGTCTCGGCGACGGCGGCGTCGTCGAACCGGGTGCGTGCACCACTCTTGATGGTGGTACCGAGTTTGGTCAGCTCACTGGGAGCAGTCGGAGACGGAGTCTCCGGACATCTCTGAGCAGTCTCGATGTCGGGCTCGATCTGCTCAGGACGCGGCCCCTTGGGCTCAGACGCGGGCTCAACAGCGGCAGCGCTGTCGATCTCTTTGCGCGCACCACTCGTCGGAGAGCTTTCCAGCTCCTGTGGCTCGATTGGAACAGGCGGAGTCGGGTTCTCCTGGCAGCTCTGAATGGGTTCGACCTTGGGCTCGAACAGTTCTGCGTGTGCTGTGCGTTCGACCTCGCGGTCGGACGGTGCCTGCTCCGCGAGTGCTCCGGACGAGTTCTCGGGGTCGGAGAGCTCAGTCTGGCAGGTCGTGCGACGGTGACGTCTGGACTCGTTGTCCTGCTCCACGGAGCGTCTGAGCGATGTAATAGCATCCTCTAGATGCTTCATCGAGTCATCGAGTGTCCGGAACCGCCTATCGGGGGTGGCTCGTGTCTCGACCGGGATACTCTTCAAGAACTTCGCAAAACTGCCAAGAATTCCATCCACCTTCGCATCGACCTTCGCGCGGTGGGCCTTCCGAGTACTACGCGAGTGCTTGGGAGAGTGGGTTGTCGATCCAGCCATCTTCTTGAGTGGTTGCGAAGTCGACTAGATTTTGATGTAAAGCATAGAAATTCGAAGTTTCCAGGTTGTTGCCTAGAGTAGATAGTCCCCAGAACAGAAGCTGTTCTGGAGCGCAAAAAAGTGTGGCGTCCCTTAATCCTCGGGCCCGGTATGCGCTGTAACCAGTCTCTATTCAGAGGGACTGTCTACACGTAGCATACATGGGGCGATGAGGATGGTAAAGGACTGAGGTCTCGTAGGTGCGCTGGCGCGCCATACGAGCCCTCGAACAAACATGAACAAGCGTACAAGATAAGATATACCGTAACGGGAATATCCGTTACACTCCGGAGGGCTGTGAGATTGCTTTGGGTCAATTGCTGCAGATCCGGTTCAGTACAATCGAACGGTAGACCTTTTAATCGCTTATCTGGTCTTTGAAACACATTGTAGATAGCCCACATGTACTTCAGATGGTGTATACATTCAATATCATATCCATACCCCATTGCACTGTTCTACAGCTAGATAAGGCACAAAAATACATACGGTTACAGCAAGTCATAATCCAACTACACTACCAGCGTTGCAGTACATTTCCCAGTCAGTGTGATACAATCGGACGTCATTCAGAAAGAGAAGAAGGGATTCAAAAAACTACTAGTCCTGCCCTATGAACCGGAACTCATCCCAGTCAAAGTACGGCAGCTCCCCTCCGAGTCATCCGTATCCGTCCCCGCCCCATCCCATTCATCATCGCTGCCGTCCGAGTCGCCGTCCTCCTCGATGTGACGTTCCGGCGCCGCCGGCACGAATCCTTGCTGGACGACCACCGTGCACCCAGGTTCACCAAAGGTGGGGCACTGCGCGATGATCCCCAGTGGGACCCCCGCATTACGACGCTCCATTGCGCTTCCATGTACTGGCGTGGAAGTGGAAGGTGGGGCCAGAGTACTGCTGGTCCATGAAGCAACGCTTCATGGAGCACAGCGGCTTCATCGGCTGCACGCCATGAGCGTAGCTGTGCACGCTCGGCGTCGTAACCACGTTGCTGAGCTTGAAGATGGGCGGGTGCTGCAGCGGTAAGGTGAGGCGGAAGCGGTACCTACCGCCTCCGAACATGATGGAGGTCGGGTAGAACGTCTCCTGTACGACGTTGTACACGTCGAATCCACCCCCGCCCAAGCAACGGCGCCGCTCCTCCCGGTCCTTCCACGGATTCAGGCCCGGAAAGACCTGCCACATGAGGGGCTGGTGGTCAGGACCCGGGATGTCGATCTCCAGCGCGAGCGGGCTGATCTCGCAGAGGAGCGGGAGGCTGATCGGCGGCGCGGCGTCCTGTATGGACCCACGTAGTATTTAGCTCAGTGGATACAGAAACTAAGCAACGCACGTACCTTGATGTAGAAGAATGCCTCCACCAGGGCAACCCTCGGTAGCCGTCCATTGACCGGCCCCCGCAATAGAGGCGGCACGCTCTGCTGGTTGGCGTAGAACTGCCGCACCGCCCCCAGGAAGACCCATCCCCCGAGCCTAATGGGGTCGTCATCCTGCGCCGTGGCGTCGACGTCCTGGAGAATGCGCCGCTGCGCGTCCACCGTGGGCTGAAGGAAGGGGTCAGCCTTCAGCATTTCGCAGACCGTGTGTTCGTGAGTGGCACACTTGACAAATGAAACGGTTAGAATTACCGCCTTACCAGAGTGAAAAGTCGCTTACATAGTTGAAGATCTCGCCTATGTGTGCCCTGTCCAGGCACATGACGGGGACGTGGGCGAGACCGGTCGTGGCGGGGCGCGTGCATCGCTTGGTACAATTGAACACCTCGACGACGTCGAGGCTGACGGTAGGAGAGCTCTGGGAAGCGATGATGTTGAGGAGTCTCTGATCGATACGCGTGATAGCCATAGTCGAATAAGCGGAGGGATGGGGCGGCAAGCGACTGAAGCAGTGATGAGCGACCGTAAGTGGTTGAAAGAGATGGAAGCGCGTGGGAGGCCGACGCGCGTCTTATCGCAATGAAGCGCCCGTGGCTGGCCCACGCGGTAGGAATAAGTAGAGATGTAATTTCGAGCGCGAGTACTCACATTTATGAAGAATAATTGTGTGATGCTGGATTGTGTACCTGTTCTGGGATTACTCTGACGTAGCGAAGCAGGTTTAAGCCCTTGACAAACGCTTGCAGCTCATTGATCGGCTCCAATATTTGAGAACAATTCATTTCATTCGTCACATTTACACGTCTCACTCACTAGATACATGGAACAAGAAGCCGTTTCGCCTGACCTCCCAGACCTCCACCTCCGAGCGCTGAAGCTCTCAGCGGCCCTCGCGCTCTCGACGTACGGGATCTCCTTGCCTCCTGGGAGAACCTCCCAGATTCCACCGCGCCCGCTCCTCTATGCCATCAGCAACAGCATTGCGCCTTCACCATCTACCGCGTCTGATCCGTCCGAGTTCGAGTCCGAGTCCGAGTCCGAGTTTCCTCCGGCGGAACGAGGTCTTCCACCGTACACCCGTCTTCGCCCATGAGAGGTCGCACTGCGACTGTTCCTTGGGGCTGCCACGGTGCTCGATTCTCCAGTCGCCTTGAAGCATTGGCGGCGCTGCGGCATGTCCACGGGAATAGAAGTCGAGGCCGTAAATCCGCCTTCATTGAGCACATGGGATGGAGAGGTTTCATGCCGCGAGCGTATTCGGCGGCATGCACGGTAATGGATACCGCCGTGTCTTTGAATACAGGCGTGTACCGCAGAGGTAAGGTGAGGCGGAGGGAGACTTGGGGCGCAAACACGCGGGATAACTTCTCGGTGTCGACGTGGAAGAAATCGAAAGTCGCGTCAAGCGGACCTCGATGACCTTCCACACGTTGAGCCCGCGGAAGAGCTGGATGGTGAGGGGTTGATCAAGTGAGATTTCCATCTCGTCGCCGTGTATCTCCCATATGAGAGGGAGCGACAGAGGAGCATGTCCGTCCTGAGTCAAATGGCACAGCGTGAGCTCGACAAAGTTAGATAACAGAGTGTGACTCACCAAGGCAAATACCAACGTCTCCACAACTACTTTCACAGACGGCCCCTGCAAACACTTCGGTATGAAAGCCCCGACGTGACTCTCTAGTATCGACCCCAAGAGTACCCATCCGCCAAGCGTTGCTGGAGGATCCAACAGGTCTATTGCGGCCAGAGCCTGCATGCGATCCTTCCTCGTCCCTTGCTCGTCGCTGCGCGTGGCCGGACAGACGGAGCAGTCGTTCTTTACGCACTAGAATTCAATTGCATGTCAATTCATCCGAATGTACAGAACAAACTTCACACACATAGTCAAACAAAACTCCGAAATTCCTTCTCTGCAGGCACACCACGGTGACGTGATTGAGTTCGGGCCCAACTCGCAGACATGGTTGGGAGTAGTGAGCAGCGATTGCATAGGTTGGAAGAGCAGGAGCGAGCAGCCGGAGCACTCGCGGATCCGGGCGAACCATGACGGTGAGGAAAGCAAGCTGAACAAGTGATTTGGATTGTAAGCACGAGGGTTGTTGTGTAAGCAGCACGTCCAAGTCTCAAGAAAGACGAGCTGTCTGCTGAAGTGGGAAGTCGCCGGAGGAGTGTAAAGCAGCGTCTCGCACTATGACAGCGGCGAAGTTGCGGTCACAAGCGCTCGCAAGCAAACCTAGCGGTTTCTCGAACAGTAGAATACAATTATGTAGATACAATATACTACCACAGTGTCTGATAAGCGTACATCCCAGCCCAGTTATTCAGTAAGAGTCGGTTTGCCTCGTCTAGCACGTTCTCCGAGGTCCAATTTGGGGGCACTGTACCTCGGGACCCGTCGGGGAAGGCCGGCACAAGCTGACACGACTGACGTATCTGTGAGAGCGGAATAATCTGCCCAGGCGGAAGGCCGTCAGAACGTAGCGGTGGTCGATTTACAGTGTACATGAGGTGGATGGGATCCGCGGCACTTGCAAATCTCGAATACCACTCGACGTAAGCCAGTGGTCCTTTGGGCCACCATGAGGGTGAACATCCGCCGCCTTGGCGAGCCAGGAGCTTCTCAGGCAGCCTGAATATTACCTTCAGTCTTCCAGCTCGTGTACCTACAACAGGCCTTGTGAGCAGCACACCCGTGACGATTGAACCGCTGGTCCTACCTCTAACCCCTGTGGATTCGGCTTCCCCGTTCTCAAGAGCAATGACGGTGTCAAACCGTGCCTTCCTTCCCTTGATAGCTGAGCCGGGGATAGACTTGACGACGTCTTGCTCCTCTTTACCGTCGGACAGCGCGAAAGGACTGAAGCGGGCTTGGTGGTAGACGTCCAGCCGATCGAAAGGTAGCCACGTTCGAGAGAGGTCGTGGCGGTTCAGTCGAAGTTCGGATGGCTGTATATCGTTAATGAAGGCGGTCAAGGCGGTGGAGAAACCAGGAGCATTGTGCCGCTCCTGGATACGAGTTAGATGCTGCTGAGGCGCTGGAGGATACTTAGCTATCTTGACATTGTTCCCAACGTCCACAACCTCTTCTGGACAAGAAGCTGCCCCTTCTGAGTCCTCAGGGTTGCCGTCTAAGTCCTCTGATACCTCCTCCACTAGACACTCCTTTTGAAAGGCCTCGTATGCGGCCATCTTCTCTCGACGCGTGATCCATTTCATCATTTGGGGAACTCGTCCCGGTGATTCGAGGCGCGCCACGCCTTTTTCACGAAGTCTATGTGGAGACGTTCGAACATCTCCGTGTTGTAATTGTCGGTGGTGCCGAACTGGCGGATGGAATCCACGTAATGCATCAGCGAGTGAAACTTAGGGATATTGAAGTGTTCCCGGATTCCAAGCTTGATCAAGACGTCTTTATTCTTGTGGTACGTCTTCAGAGCGTCCGTCATATATCCTAGAGTGGTGTCATCGTGAGTCGGGTACTGCGCTAGGTAGATGAAGTCGAGAATGGACCGGAAGGTGAGCATGACCGCCTTTGGTATCTTGCCAACAAGACAGGCTAGGAGGATGCGCGCCATTTCCTTCCTTTCCTTGCCTGACACCTGGGCCAGCGACGAGATCCCATTCTTGAAGTGCCGAATGCCGTACGCGCCTGGGAGACAACGGAGACGGTTGTCGAGCTCCTCAGGGCTGAGGAGATCCTGGCACCACGAGACCAGGTGTTTGAACACCCCCTGGTACAGCTGATGCAACACGTCCGGGGTGATGGACATGTGGATGTCAGTGTACGGCAGGTCCGTCCAGAACGGTGTCTTCACACCGCCGCTGACCTCTTGTTCCATGCACAGAGCGTCGGCGGCGGCGGGCGTGTTTCCCTCAGCTCGTGCCTCCCTGATGATGCGCTCCGTCTCCTCGGGGGTGCGCGGGTCCTTGAGGGCATCGTCTTGCAGCTTGTCTGCGGGGCACATGCACTTCGGACAGGTGCCGTACTTCGAGCACGCCACCAGACATTGTTCTGGATAGTCAGCCACGTAAGAAGCCAGGATGGGGTGCACACGGCGGACGGAGCCGTCGCCTCCGGTGACCTCGATGCCATCCAAACCTGCGCGCACGAGAGGCTGAAGAATAATACGCATTGCCGCATGAAAGAGTCTCTGACCCCTTGCCTTGCATTCCCGCTTGCCAAGCTGCTTCTTTCCGATCTTGGTCACAGGGAGATATCCCAATAGAATGCAGGCGTGCTCTGTCGGTTTGCGACGGATGGCCCGAGGGATGTTGCCAAGTGTGAGATAGACCGGGTACGCCGCTTTGTTGCCCGCAAACTGAGTGAGTTGTGTCTTATCGGTGGAAATGATGACGGGGGCGACGGCGTGCTCCCGGGGAATTAACTTCTGTTACTTGCTCATCAGAATTGTCTGTAGTAATACAGATAATCAGATTGCAACTCACCTGCACCGCGTTCCACCACAGTCCCGTCCACATCTCCGTGAAAATGCGCTTCGTCCTCGACCGATCTGTGAAGACACGCTTCGGGCGATACACGATGTACTTCGCGTAGGACGGGTTGCCCAGCAGCGCCTTGATTGCTTCAAGGATGTCTCGGTATCGAACGAGATGCTTCTCATCCGGCCTGTCCGGGAACGCGAGAGACGATGTCTTCCAAGCCGCCATCTCCGGGATGGCATCAATCTTCATGAAGAGCTCGCGTACGTCTTTGAACGTAAGACCGAGCTTTTCAACCACCTAAGATCCATCACTCGGAGTTAGGGCTGGTCCAGCATAGTGATATGGAGAGACACGTACACCCGGTATGCTCAGAAACCGATTGAGCGACTTCTGACCGACATCCTCTCGAACAACCCACATGGCTACTCGCCAGTCGAGCTCGGACGCGAAGGGTCTCCATTTTTGGTTCGGGTCTAGCGGCTTCTGAGCCTCATCTTCGCCGTCCACGTCCATTCGGTCCTCTTCGTCCAGGTCCACTCCTTCTTCGTCCTCTCCGAAGTAGGCCCTCCACGTCTCCACTATTGTTTCCTCCATTCGTATCACCTTGCCCGCGAGCTCGTCCTCTTCTTCAACTCTGGTATCGTCATCATCGTCCAAGGCAGGTCCGGGTGGATTGGGAAACGGCTGAGCTGCAGGGCCCCCTGTGGATGACGACGACGAGGCTTCACCCTCAGTTGGAATGGGTGAGTGGACCGAGGTGGGAAGTGTGAACCGGAACAAGTCCCTCGTCTCAAGGACGTCGCGGAAGTCTTCCACGTCCACGTCCACGTCCATGTCTGTAGCAGGAGCAGCCTCGTTTACCAGCACTGGGATTTCGCACCTTGGTTCCGGATTCTTTCCTTTCCTGTACCACTTGCAAGACTGAGCGGATGATAGGTGGGCCATGAGCCCTTGAGCCGATTTGAGAGGCTTGTCGCACGCTGGGCAAGTGTTGTCCTCAGCGTTACCAAGGGGAATATGCGTCGAATGGCATGACTTTGCTTTGCCTCTCGCCATGAGCTTGAAATATGGCTGTCAATACAAAGAAATATTAGAACACGGGAGTGTAGTCGCTGGAGCGTGCTCACATGTGGTATGGAGAGGTGTTATGTCCTCCCAAAGGAATACGTAGCGATGCTCACCACTCTCGGAGCGCCGTAAAGTCGCTTGTACCGGCGTCTGATCCCCATTCATTCGAGTTATGAGGTAAAGGTCGCCGTGCTTTCTCGCCCATGTCATACTTCCCTGGTTTCCGCATCCCATCCATGCCATTACCTTCTTAGCATTCACTGGACCGTCTATGAGCGTGTTCCTTGAGTCTGTGGTAAGTCTTTCATCCTGTAGGGATCGTCAGTATCGGTTCAGTGACAGCGTCAGTTATTCAGTAATTCGCTTGCGTCTACCATAGATGGACTATGGTCTGTACTCATGAAGGATCGTCTGACAAGCCACGCTCATCAATCGCTGCGCCAGTAAGTAATGTTGCTGTCATTTGCCAGGGTGATATTCGTTGAGGAGAGTTGTATAGTACGCACTTGCCTTTTATGGTGTGTGCAATGCGTTGCACACTCTCAAGGGACGGCTCATGAGAGTCCATGCATGGCCCCACGGCTTTCCCATGGCCCGCGTACCCTCCTTAATACTCATAAGATGGTGACTCATGCATCTTGTGCACTCAGATGGGTACGTGCTGATCTGTTATTGCAGTTGAGATACCAACAGTGGTTCACAGCGGTACGGCGGACCTGCCTTTTTTGGCCTGCATGACGCGTCAAACGTTGCGCTACCGCGATGCCTGACTCCCGCCCTATTCCCTTGACATAACGCATTGCCGATGATTGTCGTGAGGCAAGCATGCCGCGAGCCGTAGCAAGGCTGAATCGGTAAGTTGCATTTCTGAATACCTTGACGGAGAGACTAAGACCGTGGTGGTACATGTTCCGGTTTCGGAGTTGTAGCGTGTTTTCCCCGGGCTGTTCCCATGGCCCACAAGTGGCTGACGAACCTACGCTCTTGACTTCGACGCGGGCTGCCGACTCTCACTATGTCTGGCCACCACGATCCCCCCGGCGCGCTAACTACGGAAGTGATTATGACTCGGACTACGGGTCTGCGCCGTCGGTCCCTGACACAAACGACAGCATTCGCTCCTATGCGCCGGACTCAGACATCTATTCCCCCGACACCTCGTTTGATGCCGACACCTCGTTAGATGAACATGACCCCCGCGGTCAGAATATGCAGGTCATCCGAGACCTGGAGGCCTATGGTTCTGCCCAGAAGGTTGGCGTGGCCTCCGCTAACCGGGGGATCCCAGACGATTTTTGGGACCTCTTCAGGCGGGTCCTCCCAGATGGTGATGAGCAGGAGGTCATGCGCGAGGCCTTCGTGGCGATTTGGGAGCTACAGAATCAGTGGGTGGCTAACAATCGAGACGGGTTTTTGACGAAGGTAGGATAATCCCGTCATGAATCGACCGATTCTCGCTCATTCATCATGTATTTCTTCAGTCCATTACGGGGATGGCGGAACAACAGTTCTGGCTGATTCAAGATGTTTTGGCGAGGAGCTGGCAGTGGGACTTGCACACCGGCATACTGAAGCACTGGATTTCTTTCATCCGTTGCTTAACGTGAGTGGGCGGAGTGACATGTGTTCATGATGCTTGACGCTAATGTGACACAGTCTTGATTTCTGGCCGCAGGAACGCAGAGCGATCGCTGTAGCGCCAACGTTCGAGGAGGAGTTCGCCTTTCCCATCGCGTCCACTGTCAAGAGATACATGTCCGTCAGCGGGATGGGCTGGTCCAAGGTCACGACGAGCGTTGCACCCCGGACAACAATCAAGAACTCTGACGTGCAGTTTCGCATCAAATATGGCGCGGTCAGGCTCGACGGACACGAGAGCAAACTCGGTAGGGAGGTCTTCCTTGTTATGGTGGCTCAGAGCAGAACAGAGTTCTTGTACCAAGCAAAGAAGGTAAGCCATCTTGTGGCGCGGCAGCTTATGTTCTCACAAGGACTATATAGATGGCCGCCGCCGTGCCGTCCCTCAAGAGGCTCCAGGGCTTCATGATCGTCCTTATAGGAGATCTAGGCGAGGGTCATGACGGTCTTGAGTTCATACCGGCCTCGAGCTTCGACCCCGGTACACGGATCGAATGCTGCATGCTGTCGTACGAACGACAGGAGTTCGTCATGTTCAATCATCGAGCTGCGAGTGCAGTGGGGTTCCAGGATTGGGAGAACGATCCCAATTTCATGGTCAGTTCGAGAGGTCATATACGCCACTTGCACAGCCGTACTCATCTCGTTTCGAACAGCGGTGGCTGGATCTCATTCAGCCAGGATCAGCTTCACCGAAGACGATGCCTCCCGACGCATTCCTCACATTCAACGCTCGCATGCAATCTATCCTCACCTGGCACTACCTCCATCAACTGAAGCCGCAACAGTGGACGAAGCGTCCCCCTGTGCAGACTCGATCGAAAGATTGGGGAAACGTTGGCGCAGATCTTATGTCCATGATGCACGCGGCGTCGCAGCAGATCGCCAGCGGACTTAGTGGCATAGGAGGCAAGGCATTTTTAGGCGGCGGTATCGGACCGTACGGTGAGGTCGGTCTGTTCAGGCAGGAGATGTACGACGGCGAAGATTGAGGCCACTCACTAGTCATATGTATATTACTACTCATATCCCATCTTCACTGATGCATGTGTATCGTTATGAACCGAGTTTACGCGTCTTGCAAGGCATCCCAGTGGTGTGTGCAACGCGTTGCACGCGCGCTTACCTTAGTCCCGCGGTCCGGAAGCGCGGAATACAAGAAGCAAGGATGGACCGATACAACGAAGCTGTCGATTGTGTCATGGATAACGCCGATGGGAAAGGCGTGTAGATGTAGGTGAGTACAACTCCATCCCAACGCTCTCGTACTGAACTCACCTCAGAGCCGCCATGCCCAGCCATACTCATGAGGGGCTCATCTCGTACTTTCAACAAGTCTTCCACTTCCTCTATACCTATGCCTACCTTCATGCATCCAATAACGCCCATCTCTACTCCTCGGGTCAGGTATCCGGCCTCACCTCGGCCAGCTCGTACTTACTTCAAGACGGCTTGGGCGGGTGGATCAAACCCGATCTGTGCCTGCTCATTTTCTTAGGTGCAGCGGCGCATGTCTTGGTCTTGCTCGAGGTTTGCGTCTCCCAGTCCGCCCCCAATATCATGGGCAAGGTGAGTCCTTGTACCTATCGCTCATTCACCGCTAAAACCATCCTCTGCAGATGGAGAAACTCCTGGGTGTTACGGCTCAGCCTGCCCTCTCGATGTTCTTCGTCTTCGTGCGAGAGTCAAAGATCAAGTCACCTAAGCTCCTCACACACGTCTGGGAGAGAACTTGGGTTCACTCCAAGACTCGCATGGCGACCCCTAGCGGCCTCTTCAAGTACAAACCCGCTCGCAAAGGGTTGGGGAGGCGATGGGGAAGGGGGACGACGCTGCAGAGAACGCTAGTGTCTGAGGCAGGCGGGTTTCGACAGATTATCAGGACCAACGATCTCACCTTCGCCCCCGCCGTTTACTGGAGGAGGGGCACTGCAAGGCCGGCGGTAGATCAGGTGGAGTTGGACAATCTGGTTCTCCACGGAGCAGCTCGAGCCTATATCGTTCTGGCACACCCATGGGACTTCCACAAGGTCCGACGCGCCGGTATAGAGAAGCATGCACTTCCCCGAGTACTGCAAGACTTCGTTTCTTTGGTGAGTTCCAATGCCTCTGTACTCTACTAGATCTCACTCCATCTGGACGTAGGAGATATCCCGTGATGTTGGCAAACCATGGGTTCACTCCCCCTATGCCTCCCGGGCAGCTGTAGCTCGTTTCAGGGACGAGCTGCTCAAATCACAGGTTCTTGCTGTCAAAGCGTTCACTGCCATGGCGGCGCATCCGCCCACCTCGAGGATGTTCTACTCGCTACACCGCGGCATTAATGCCGTCATCCTCAATTTTCTCAGTAGGCACCTCCTGGGCTATCCAAACCAGGAAGTCGACCTCAACACGGATCCCATTGCCCAGCAACTCAAGGGTCGAGTGACGATGAAATATGTCAAGTCCATGGTCACACACTGTGTTGCGGACGTCAGAATGGCGGTTATGACGACCGCTGGGGATCGCTTGAGGGATATCGTGAAGGGGGAGCCCGCGGTGCAAGGTGCGTGGGTTCCAAGTGCCTACGATGTATAGGCAGTGGCAGCTACGAATATATAAAGGACACGTTACGTATAACAAATCTTCGTATGTATGTACATCGTTTTTGCCAAGGTCAATCCAATCTTCTTCCTCTTTCGCCTGGGTGAGGCTGTCGGTATGGGCGTCAACAGATGTCTTCGCTGACCATGTCCGACGACCCACTGGCAACAGATCCCTGCCCACACCCCATGATCAATCTCGTTCTCTCCCTAACTGAGGCAACTGCTCTCGAAGCGGTTCTAGAGCAATGTCCACTGGCTGACCGACTTCTCCAATCAGTTCTGTGGCGTCTTCGGGACTCGGCCAATGCCCAGGGAAATCGGCTTGGAGCTACGGGCCGAGCAGCACCCTCGACACGCTCTAGTACACCCAGCTTTCCCGACGACGAAGGAACGGGAGGGGTGACAGGAGTAGAGTGGGAGGAGACAGGACAGCCTAGTGAGTGCACGTCTCGATGCATACTCCGGAGTACAAGCTAAGGACACTCCAAGACGCGAAAGAGGTGACAGGAACAGAGGATGATGCACCGCCTGAGACCAATGGTGAGTGCACAATTGTTTCCGTATCAGTACTGCTTGCAAACAGACTACCAGTCTCGACAAGGCACACCGCGAGTCGCGCGCGTCATCAAGCAAAGCCCAAGAAATCCAAACATCATCGACGTGCTGACTACACTTTTGGAGAAACTTGTAAAAGAAGACGGGCGGAGCAGCAGTCAGAAAGTGGGTTCAACGCAATAGGACGGCGATGGCTCTGGCCCCGTCTGTAGCACCTTTTCTGGCACGACTTGGAAGCGCGGTCGTTGCCAATTCACTGCAAGAATGTACAACATCTCTCGCTGGGTTGCTGAGAGACGGGGACGTCGGCGAAGGCTTCTTCGATGACAGTCTGCCGTCCATCCTGCAGCGATGCAAGCGAATCGAACGCAATGGCACCGCAGTGAGCTTTCTAACAATCATACACTATCTCCAATTGCTATGCAAATGCACAAGGCAGGTTCCGTCACCGTCACTGCAGACTCTCATCTGACAGTTGATTCAGTCTGCGTCGTCGTGGTTCGCTGACCATATCAGAAGTTTATCGCCGTCATGTCCGGGGACTTGCTGGAGCCCCGCCTCGTCGCACGTTCATGTATTGGATTGCGGCGGCCAGCAAATTTGCAGCCGTTGCCCTTGGAGGTATATTGGCTTTACCTGTTAGATCTGGGAGGGTTGAACGTACTGATGTCTTGTCAGGTTCTATCTACACTCTCGCAATCGTGGCTATTGCAAATATGCGTGTGCCCCTGATGAAATCCATAGGGAACTTCGCATGGCAAGTGTCCAACGTTCTTCGAGATCCGGATCCCGGTACGTGCTCGAGACATGCCTGATATTGGTATGTGGTGTAATGAGTTTCGAACTAGCTACACCCGCAGGTCAGACGGTTATCAAACACATCATTCCAGCTGTCGCCAGCCTACGCCAATCAGTTCCATTGACGTTCGATACTCTCTTCCATAAGGATGTCCTGACCGAACTCTGCATGTCCACGGACACGATTGCATGCTGGAACTTAGAGCAATCCGACGAAGCTCTGAGCTGGCTGGATCTCAAGTAAGTCGTTCCAGAACTCTACGTATCAATTGGTGATACTGTTATTCACCAACTACAATAGCACGTTTACTCCCATCCCCAGAAATCTTGCTGTCTGGGCCCCGTGTTCTTCGATGCTCCAAGACCCTCAGAACCTCCACCTAACGTCCATTAGCCAGTGCCTGTTCCGACATGAACGTCGCGACATGGACGTTGTTGATCCTCCATCGCCTCTGACTGAATTGGATGATGTCAGCGACGATGAAATTGAAGATATGGGACCCTGCGCCGAGGGCAAAACCACAGAACGCCCTGCTCAGCTGACGGAAAAGGTCACACTGCAAGGGTACGAGCTGGGACTGGACAAGAACCTCACTTTCCCAGTGCCGAAGGACGAAGACGAAGCGTTTACGTGGACGGAAGAGCAACGTTCTCTCGCCGAGGCAGCCGCAGAGCCTCAGAGTATTTCTGAGTTGAGGATCAAGGTACGCCTTTCCGCCAAGCACCCGCATTTCTCTGACCTGTCCAAGCTGTCGGGGATGTATAGGGACGGTGGCCGTGTTGATGGCAGCGAATACGTGAGGGTTTTGCCCTCCATTATCAGGTATAACATATCACTGGTTGCGCACATCCGGAGAGCTTAATTGCATTGAAGCGCTCCGCTCAGAATCGAGGACGGCCAGGGCTCTTTGGTGGCATGCGTGTTCCCATCCATGCCTGATCATATGCGACAGATGCTGATAGCCTACTTGGTGGCAGCCTTCGAGGCTCAGTCCGCAAATCTTCAGGAAACTGACTCCGCATCAGAGGGCCGAGAGTACCGCTTCCCAGCTCTCCACTTCTCGTGGTACAATCGTCACGGAACAAGGGTATGTGTTTGACACTAGGTTCCTCTACGTAGGCCCAAGGCTGATAAAGGGGTGCATCAACAGGGACATGGAATTCCTACGAGCTCCCATCCCATCCTCTCAGAGAAGGACGATCATTCGCGGACTAACTACACGCAGATGCTCCCCTACCCCTCCCGGGACATGAGCAAGTTCGAGGAGATATATCAGAATCTAGAGGAGATATTCCAAGGTGTTTTTGAATGGATGGCGGAGCATGCAAGAGTTTCATTTTTGACATTCTCTGATCTGGGCTGACAAAAAGACAATAGATCAAGTGCTGGCTGCCCGAGGAGTACCACGACCTTAGTATGGACGCAGAAGTGCTTCCGGGGAATGCGCACTCAATAGTGCATCCATTCCTGTCGCTTGTCGTAAACCTCAATGTCACCACTTCAGCTCACAGGGACCGGCAAGACAAAGCTCTGTGTGTCGTGCTTGTTATCGGAGATCACACCGGTGGAGAATTATGTATGTACGAACCCGGCCTCGTCTTTCCACTGCGCAACGGCGACTTTGTAGCGTTTCCATCATACCGGATTACTCACTTCAATCTACACTTCGTCGGGCGCCGCGCTTCTATAGTATTCCATACAGACAGGGAGATGGACAAATGGACGAATGGAGGGCGGAACGGTTGGGAAGGGAACGAACATTTCCATTAATATTGACGCCTCTGTCATTACGTCTACGGGAATATATTCCAATACATTGATGTTGCCGCTTAACCTCCCCTGACTGCCGTGCTACTGGGCTGCTCAACCTTCATTCTACACTGACGCGTTTTGCTCAAGTCTGAGGCCTAAGTTTTAGTCTGGACAACTCGGAGCTACCAGAACGATGCTTGGCGATGGTGGACCGGAGTTCGGCGGCTGCTCCGCATCTCCGCAATCGTCAACAATCAACGGTGCGTTGCCACCACATCTTGACTCTCTCTCTGTCTTGCTGCCTTCTTCATTCAACTAGTTATGGTCACACGTCGAACGAGGGCTGGTTCAGCTGCCGCGGCCAGCAAGTCGAAGCCGCAAGCCGGCGGAAAGAAGCAGACGACCTCCAAGGCGGCGGCGGCGGCGCCTGCATCTGCGACCTCGAGCAATGCCGAAGCTCTCAAGCGCATGAAAGAGGTGGTGAGGATGACGAACCCAGATGCCTCGGAAAAAGAGGTCACAGCAAAGGCTCGTCGCCTTCTTGCGGACATGAGGAAGGCACCCACCGAGGAGAAGGATCGCCTGCAATGTACGTCACAGCGGTCGTCACTGCGTCGACTTTCTAACTACCCCCTGTGAAGCCATACAAGCAAAGAGCGAGGTTATGATGGAGGAGGATGCCGATGGCGAAGATGACCCTGAAGTTGTAACGGCTGATGAGCAGCCAGGCAGCGGAGACGAGGAGGCGCGTTCGACTCCCTCTGAGCATGAGCCGGCTGCGTCGAGGGTCAAGGGCAAGGCAGTGGCGAACGGTGAGTTGTTGATGCAGACGGTCACTGAGCTATCTCATGATTATACAGTTGAGTCGCCTCCCAAGCCAAAGCCCCGCCCGAGGCCGCGCAAGAGAAAGGCTGACCAGGTGTCAGACAAGGCAGACAGTGACGCCGAAGTTGTTGGGAGAGCTCCGGATGGGCCTGATAAGAAGAGGACGAAGACGCAGAGCCCTGGCAAGTCGGCTGGAGCTAGGCGGGTGCCATCTGGGGAGCATAGCTCCCCTACTACATCGCGTGAGTGGCCAATAATCTTGTATTGACACTTGCTTCTAATGTACACAACTTACTTGAAGCGGGATCGCCCGGGAAGAAGAGGGTCGAGGTCGTCATTCCGATGGATCCTCCGCTGCGAAACTTGTCCAAGGAGGAGCAGGATGTGGCTGATCGACTCCGTAAGCCAACTTTACCACTATACACATCTTTGACAGACTTATTGCGTTGTGCGAGACAGGCATACGTAGTGGGAAGAAGGTTGCGCGGGTGCAAAGTGAAGAGGAGAGCGAGAAGGATCAGCTGCCCGATGACGATGCGAGTTTGGAGAACTGGGAGTCCCAGAGTGAGTTGCCTTGCAGAGTATACATGGCTAACTAAATAACCAGTTGTGAGACCCCCGCGAGTCAGCTCGAGGGGTCGCCAAGAATAGACGGCATACCGAGGACGGCTCGGGGGATGACAGCGAGTCGTACCAAGTCTCCGACAAGGACCCTAAGGAAGACAGCGACCAGAGCCTGAGCAAGGCCGAGGAGAGCGGCTCTGACATCGACGACGACGAGGTATGTGGAATATGTGGATGGATTACAGCACTAACGGAGTCAACAGATTATTGTCAAGTCTGAGGAGAAGCCGCAGCCAAAAGTGAAGGCTGCGAAGGCCAAGGCTCAGGGCAAGAAGAAAGGCTCCAAGGCGTCCAAGGACGACGACCCATATGCCGAGCTTGACCAGGAGCCGATGAAGAGTTTGGTGCAGCACGCCCAGCTCGAGTTCAGGGTCTATCTGAGCCTCGAGAACGCGTGGCCCCGCAAGAATGACAAGGTCATCGACAGGTGGGACGCTCCGTTGACGATGTACGACAGGGTCATCAGCAAGCACAAGAAATATCGGGCACCCAAGTTCAAGGAGAGATACGATGAGCTGATCGAAATAGACTCCATCAGGAAAGAAATGCGTAGGAGGGTGAGTGTTAGCCTTCAATTGTGATATCTGGCTGACTTCCACTTTTACGGCTTCAGGTCTACAAGCTGGCAGCGCAGTTTCGCCAAGAGGTGAAACAGAAGGCCAAACGTGTCGTGGAGAAGGAGTTCTTGTCCCTCAAGGTGTCAGACGTTGGTCCCAACGGTGACCGGTTGAGCTCTGTCGCCCGTGCGGACAAGCTGCAGAATGCCCTGGAGGCGCGTATTCGGTTCCTCAAGGACGGGGATACCTTTCACCACGGCAACCTCAAGATGCCGGATCCTGAAGTTGAACCATCGGTGCGCAGACCATCCAGATGATAACAGAATGGTTTGCTCACATGGAGCAGCTGTGGGTGGCGGAACGTGACGCCCCGTTCCACAACGAGGCTATCGCTGAAGTCATGGCTCGTCAATGGTGGCTCGGGCAGCATCCTGAGGCACTGCGCCCCGAGAACCGTGAACGCTTCGACATCAACACGGTCCCTTTATCGAGCAACATGATTGCCCTTGCGTGCAGCGCGGTGAGTGTCCTAGTGATGTAAACAATGTACAGTCTGATTTAGGAGTTGTTAGATACTTGTGACTCTGGACGAGTCGCTCAAGGGCAACGTCACCATTAACTTCGACGAGAAGACATACGCGCCGGAGTGCGTCGAGCCTGCAGATCAATTCAATAATTCAACGTTGATACTGACGTATTTATTTGCAGGCACGACCGCTTCAAAGCTGGTATCGACATGCTGCGACGGTTGGCTGATCCCAAGAGCCCAGCTTTCAATGAGGGATCAGCGAGCTGGTCAAATCAATGAACAAATCACTGGCCAATGGCATACGGTAGGCGCAGTATTTTCTCAAAACACTTGAACTACTGAAGGGTCTCTGGCCAGAACTGTTGCGCGGATCGCCGAGCCTGAAGTTGCGGAGCAAGATGGATCGCGCGCCGCGGTCTTGAACCTCAACCTCGACATGGATCTTCTGTCGGCTCGTTGGCGGAAGAACGTGCAGGTGCCTTCCACGAGTACTAATCAGGAGGCTGCTGGTCCTTCGTCGAGTACGCAGAGTTCGCTGCCGGCGGCTTGAGGATGGGAGAAGCAAGGGCATACTCTGAGGTGAGCATAGTGGTATTGTCTGACGTTCATTTATAAACCAACATTGCCTTCATGTCAACAGACGGTGTAGGACTACCCTGATGTCTCCGACCTTGCTGGTCGTTGGTAAATACTTGTCCGTCATGTCTGTATTCGTCATGCCTTGCCAGGTCTCCTTTTGTATCGTTGCCTGCCGTTCACCCCTCCAGCTACAATACCTCGTGTCTCTCTGTACGTCAACCGCTGGATGTTTTTTTATGTATCACAATTGTATGCAATGCCCAATTTGATGAATACCATGAATTGCGAACCCTATGGTCCTCTAAGGGTGTGTCTGAAGCAATTTCTAAGCGCTGCAAAATCATTCAGTTTATTTAAACATACTATTAGAAGCTCTGAAAGCTCTCACGAGAGTTACAGAGTTCTCACCAGTGAGCTAAATCAACCCCAATAGGGCATCTGGGTGTCATGGGCGCCTAATTACGCCTCTTGCAAGCGCTCCGCGGAGCGCCGTTGACTATTCCAAGCGGTTTCCGTCAAAACCTCGGTCTTCAGATTAAGGGACTTGTATTGGAAAGTGATTGGGCTTTTCCAGTGCTGTTTAACCGCTCAAGAACTCTTGTTGACACTTTTGGTTCTCCTGGAGTCTAGCCAAGTGCTTGGTGGTTTGGGCGGTTTTCCCTGATGGCGGTCCCCCCCAAAGAACGAGGAGCAAATGCCAATATCAATCCGAGGCAATGTATTCCTACAAACCTGGAACTTCAAGTCTTCAGCAATTCCGGAGGGCCTAAGGACAATGTTCAAAATAGCCAAGAAATACGGCGTACGAAAGGAAGGCCTGGCTTTTGCACGGAACATACTCCGTGACATGCCCATATGGCTACACAATGAAGCAGACAACGGAATACGAC